AGAGAGAGAGAGAGTACTACTAAGCCTGATGGTATACTGTGGACTAGTATCGTGGCTAATGCAAACCTGTGGGTACGTCGACAGATCCAAGCGAGATATCCAGACTGTGGGTATGTATTCGTTAGAATTCATTTGTCTGAGAGAGAGAGAGAGAGAGAGAGAGAGAGAGAGAGAGAGAGACAGAGAGAGACACAGAGAGAATTCATTATAGTCTCCAACCTTGTGGCTGGCCTCGTCGTATAGTGCCGTGGGGAATGGCAAACTGGATGATTGAGCTCAGCGTCCGGGGGGCTTGTTTCTTCTCTGCCCGTTGCTCTGTGTCTGAAATAAGTATATCTGTCCTGGATTGGCTGAGTGGCATACAGTACTCTATGCACGTAACTTCCAGTGAAGAGATGGAGGAGTTCAAATTTCCAACTTAAATCTTGTCCCGACTTAAGATCCTGTTGACATCGGATGGATATGATAGCCGTTCGGGCTCCCCTTTTGGACCGCCAATGTACCTCCTGAGCTTCCTCTCTCGAATGATCGATTTTGCGAGGGGCTGCTGTGAGGGCCTCCTGAGCTTCCTCTCTCCAATGATCGATTTTGTGAGGGCCTGCTGGGTGCTGCCAACATGCCCTGAGCTCTGAATCGTCATCTGAATCGTCATCGTTGTGAGGGCGTGCTGTGTGCCGCCAGCCTTTTTGGTCCGAGAGGTGGAGCCCGGTTGCAGGGCGTCAGCCAAGCCCAACTGCGGGAGAGCTGGACGGGTTACTCGTGTTTTAGAAAGAACGGATAGTGGACATGTCAAAAGTGCTTTCCTGGGAGGGGGGGAATAAAAAGATTCGGTGCGAATGGAGAACTCAATTGCGACCAGTATCGAGAGAGTGGTGCAAGAGAAGCAACAATGACGGAAGTCGAGCTTTCGGCCAGTCGTCTCAGTTTAACCAGTGGGTCAGACAAGTGTCTAACATCTGCATCACAGCTGTGCACTGGGACATGTTGGCGGTGTTGAATCGTTTCTCCACTACTCAACATTCTACATGCATTTGGACGCCTTTCTGGGCCAGGTGCATTTGCAGGAGTCCATTTTTTTCAATGTATTGGGACGATTGTAAGCTCAAGAATCCAAATACAATACATATGTAGAGCGTTGTGTAGTGGAGCGAGGCCCAATACACTACCAGCTGCATCGCAGCTTTGCTGTCAAGCAGCAGCAGCATGCAAAACTGTGTTTTTCTGTCCAGCTCGTTGTCCGCTTCGCCAGGCTTTCCCGAAACATGTGTGTGTGTGTGTGTGAGAGAGAGAGAGAGAGAGAGAGAGAGAGAGAGAGAGAGGGCTACACTGTATGAGATCATGAGCTGTGTGTTGCCCTCTGAGCCCCTCTCCTCACAGTAGCAAGGATGAAATTGGTTACGAGGTGTGGCTGCTGGATGCAGGATATAGCTTTGAAGAGCTGAAAGGAGAGAATAGAACAAGTGAATCCTGATGGGTACAGTCACTACAGTGATGTTAGGGGGCAACCCTCTTTTTTGTTGTCTTTAAAACTTCAGAGGAAAATTAAATAGAAAAAGATTTGGCTGAAGAGTACGCAGGGAAAGTTGCACCAATTCGTATTTTGCGATAATTTTGTGAATTTAAGTTCAAAACAACATATATCGATGCGGATGGCTTGCAGAACTTTTCTTATTTCGTTATTATTTTACAATGTTTAATTAACTTATTATTCGAATTTATTTGAGTTGACCAATATTTATCATTTTTTTTTTTTAACTTTTGATTGTCGTCCTCGATAACTTTGCAGTACATGATCCTTACATCTGTCCTCGCTCATCGGTGGATGTTTCTGTTTTTTTTTTTTTTTGCTTTTCTCAAGGAAGTAGTTCTTTGTTATAAACCAACGGTTCATCTTCGCATGCATGGCACATTTTTTGTTTCTGCATGGAGCTTGACCTCTTTTGATGGTCTGTGCTACAGTCTTCCCCCGAATACAATGCACGGTCATTATAGCTGAATTTGGTGTATCTTTCAGTCTAAATTCAGCTATAATGACCGTACGTTGTATTCGGGGGAAGACTGTAGGCTGTTGTGACGTGTGCTCTGCATCGAGGACAACACCGTCCATCATCCTTCGCAGGTCCAATCAGTATTAGGGGTTAAGACCATGAGCAGTGGGGCACGTGGTTTGTGCTTTTGCAGTCGTGTGCGGAGACTAGGTGCAGCAGGGCATGTTCTCTGTACTTCCTTCTGTGGATATATGAAAGTATATGATGTCTCAGAGTCTATTGTTCATCCGTTATCGTTTCCATATGGAAAATCTTGTGAGGTAGTTTTTTTTTTTTGTCCTAATAAAGGCTAGAAACAAGTCCAGGTAACTTGGTTTTTGGCTGATTTAAATGTCTAGGGTGGCTGAGTCAAATTTGTAGGGTCAATCGTTGGTCCCAGAGCCTTTGTAGGGTCAAAACTTGGTCTAAGAAGTTTTTTGTCTGAGTCAAATTTTTAGGGTGGCTGAGTCAAAGTTGTAGGATCAAAAGTTGGTCCCAGAGCCTCTGTCGCGGCGCTAGAAAGTGCTTCGGTCAGTAGGACTGGATTGAACTCAAGGGTCGAGACGAGGTGTCGAGGGCTGCTCAAAGTGAAAGCAATTGGCACACCCATGAAAAGTGTTAAAACACCGACCAAGTCCGGCCAAAGTTTCAATCCAGATGCAACCAGATGACCAGAGGAAAATTTTGAAATCACTGTGAATTACCCAGGGGGGCTGATCGGTTCGATGCTGATATCTTGGGGCCCTCGCTATTTTTAACAAAGAACAGAGTTAAAATAGATTTAATAAAACGAAAAGAAAAGAAGCGGGTGGAAGCCGGGAGGTTAGGGGGTACATTTTTCCATTGGCCCACACGTTGTAGAGTAGTGGCGAAAATGCACAATGTGATGAAAATTGGCGTGGCATTTGTTTGATGGTCTAATTTATTTTTTTTATTCTTTCATTTTTCTGATATTCTTTCTGGAAAGATCACGACCTTATCTACAGGATCTCAAATTTTCAGTTTTTTTTCTCAATTTTTTAGGGTGTAAAAATCGCCGAAGTTGGTGCCCCCCCAAAAATTGCGGGACCGAATCTGCCTGCGCCTGCCGGTCGGCGCCCCCGCTAAAATGCCGCGTCTAACTCACCGGAACGGCACTTTTTGGTGTCGGATGGCATTCATAGTTGCGGCGCACCTCGGTGCGCGGATTTGCGCACGAATTGCGCACTGCGCGTAGCGCACCGAATCGCAGTGCACTGGAAAAATTAGGTTCAAAAAAAAAAAAAAAAAAA